CTTCAATCGGCAGCCCCCCCTCCCGACCTCCACCCTCCCGAGCCTCCCCGGCGTGTCCGTTGTTGAATCAGTTTAAAAGGTATGATTTTCCTACTGAGCTTTAGAAATTTCAATTTTATTATTAGTTATTGTTGAATTTGGTTTAAAACCCTAATTATGATAAAAAATAAACGAGTTCAATTCTGAAAACCCTAACTTAACTACATGTTAATTCATTTGAACAACACCAGTAATCATATTTTGTATAAACACTTATAAACCCTAACTCATTTAAGTTTCATTCGTGCTATAAGTATGTGTGATTATTTAAGTTTGTGATGTGAAAATATGTGAAATAATTTTTTGTAAAAAATAGAGTGATATATAACACATTATAAATTTTTATAATGTGTTATAATCCAATTTAGGTGAATAAAAAAATAACGTTATCCCTAGACTTCCGTCCAATAATTACATCCAATTATTTGGACTTATAATATATGATATACGACTCAGATTTGGGTAGGAGACGAAGTTTTCTTCCAAAAATGAGCGTTTATTTTATATTATAGGAATAAAAAATTGGTACTGAAATTCGTAATTATTGGATCTGTCCTTCTCGGACGGGTTAGGAATATAGTAGTGCATACATCCAACTTTGTATACTTTGTATATTTTCATTCTTGAAAGTTTTGGCAGCACCTATTCGTTGTTCTCCGTGTACAATAAGCGTATGTTGTTCTGCGTTTCGGGTTATTACTGATACGCATAATAACATCCGCACAGTGTACAGGGAGAACAGCGGGTAGGTGCTGCCGAAATTTTCAAGAAATGAAAATATACAAAGTATATGAAGTTGGATGTAAGCACTACTATATTCTTAATGGATAGAAGCCTTCCTATGACAGCCGATCAATTGGTGTAATTAGTTTCTACGTACGTTTCAAATATATTTTATGTAGAACTAAATTTATATTGTTAAATGATATATGAACGTATGTTAGATTTGTTTTGTATGTATAAGAGTCATGAATGTACTAGTAGTTGTGTGATTTGTCGTAGTTAATAATTAACAGATGAGGATAATTCCTGACAAGTCATGGATAGATATCCCTAGGCATCATAGATTTCACGACACACGATACAAGGAGGGATGTGAAGCCTTCATGCGTTATGCGGAAATGAATCCGAGAAATTTAAGAAGCGGTGCTATGTACTGTCCTTGTTGTAAGTGTAGGAATTTGAAGCTGCTGATTAGAAATGATATATGGATTCACCTAATAAAATCAGGTTTTGATGAGAAATATAAATACTGGAACTGGCATGGGGAAGGTATCACTGAAGATGAGGATCCAAATGTGCGTACGTCCGGTGGCCAACGAATAGATGTCACAGAAACATTGTTGAATGATATTTTTCCTCGACCTACAGAATATGATGTTGATGATAATGTCGAGGATGATATTGGAGACAAAAGTGAAGATGATAACGAAGTTGAAGACGAAGAGGTAGGAGGTATCGCGAGTGTCGAAAATATTGATGATATGCATTCCTCCGCAGAAATAAAGCGAATAATGGAGCTACTAGAAGATCGTGAAAAGGACTTATATGAGGGATGTACCGAGTACTCCAGATTTTCATTTATGCTGAAACTCCTTCATATTAAGACACTTAGCGGTATGTCAGATAATTATTTTGAAATACTTCTTGATTTGCTTCCATGTGGAGTTTCTAGGTGGAAACAGCGCACAAATTCTTCAACAAGGATTACAACGGAGACAGGGATAACACAGAAGAAAATTCCAGTTAAAGTGCTTCGACATTTTCCATTGGCTCCTAGATTGCGAAGATTATACATGAACAAGGAAACGGCAAAGAATATGAGGTGGCATAAGGATGATCGAGTAGACGATGGTAAATTGAGACATCCTGCTGATGCTTTAGCTTGGAAGCATGTTGATAAAATTTATCCTCGTTTTGCCGAAGATTGCAGAAATGTAAGACTGGGTCTATCAAGCGACGGATTCAATCCATTTGGGGTAATGAGCTCTGGCTGGTCTACGTGGCCAGTTGTATTAATGCCATATAATTTACCTCCATTGCTTTGTATGAAACAGCCGTTTATGATACTTTCATTACTGATACCCGGTAAGCATGCTCCGGGAAATGATATTGATGTCTACTTAGAGCCTCTAATTGATGAGCTAAAACAATTATGGTCTGAGGGTATTTTAGCATATGATGCCCATTTAAAAGAGTCGTTTAGATTACGTGCTATTCTACTATGGACGATTAATGATTTTCCAGCTTATGCTAATCTGTCAGGGTACTCTACGAAGGGCAAGTGTGCTTGTCCTGTATGTGGTCCATAATTTTGATTATATTGATGTCTACGCAGGGTATTCTACTATGGACGATTAATGATTTTAGCATATAGTTGGATTTGTACAATGTGTTGGATTTGGTTATATAGATGTTTTTGAATGGAATTGTTATGAATTTTGATTATGATTGGATGGTTGAATGTGGCGTGTACAGTATTTTCTGGATGTATTCAAATATTAATGTAATTATACAGGGAAATACAAATTTTAATTAAAAAATCTGTCTGGGTTGGCAACCCAGACGGAAATCCGTCTGGGTTGGTAACCCAGACGGAAATTCCGTCTGGGTTGCCAACCCAGATGGAATTCCGTCTCGGTTGCCAACCTAGACGGAATTCTTTATTCCGTCTAGGTTGATTTCCGTCTAGATTGATCAATCTAGACGGAATTCCGTCTAGTTTGAAGCAATCTAGACGGAAGCAAAATAAACCACTCAAACTAGAGGGAATTCCGTCTAGATGACCTAATCTAGACGGAATTGCAATCAACCTAGACGGAAATTTCCGTCTAGGTTGATCGTTTTTCTACTAGTGTGGATTCTCATTCGTGTGCACATTCATGAGAGAAATATCACCTTCCTCTATGACATCCCACATAAAATGATACTTAACATCGATATGCTTGGTACGAGCATGGTGAACTTGATTCTTAGCCAAATAAATCGCACTCTAACTATCGCACCACAAGTTCACACAATCCTGCTTAACCTCCAAATCATCTAGAAGACCCCCACAACCATAATGTTTCCTTCACCCCCTCTGTCATGGCCATATACTCAGCCTCTGTAGTAAAGAGTGTCACTGTAGCCTGTAATATCGATCACCAACTAACTGGAGCACGTA